TGAATGGAGAGATAGATTCACATACAGATGCTCATGGCCTTCATTTTGGCCTCTCCACTGCAGCCCGAGCTCCACAGGAGGAGGAATCCCAGCCAGTGCTGGGCGAGCTCAGGGTGTCCGAGGTCACCTCTGACTCGGTGCAGCTGGAGTGGAGCGTCCCCGAGGGCACCTTTGACTCCTTCACGCTGCAGTACCGCGATGCACAAGGCCAGCCCCAGGTGCTGCCCGTGGACGGGGGTTCCCGCACGCTGACGCTGCCGGGGCTGTCCCCGTCCCGCCGCTACAAGTTCAACCTGTACGGGCTGTGGGGTCGCACACGCCTGGGGCCCCCGGTCTCCACCGACACTGTCACAGGTGAGGGGGCTCTGGCACCAGCCCCGCTGAACCGCCTCTTGTAGTGGACAGAAGCTTGGGCAGGGCCCGTGCTCGTGCCTTGGTCAGTGGAGGAAAGGGGGTGGGAGGGGATTTGGGATCAATGGAAGGATGAGGGAGTGACAGGCTGGAAGGGTGGAGGGGTTGTTGAGGATGGGTGGATGGATTCATGAATAGATTGATAGATTTCATGAATGGATAGATGGAGAGATTGACAGATGGCTGGATATGGGAGGGATGGATGGATGGATGGAGGAGTGGATGGATGAGTGCGTGGATGGATGGATGCATGGATGCATGGCTGAGTGGGGGATAGATGGATGGAGGCATGAATGTATGGATGAGTGGGTGGATGAAAGGATGGAAGGATGCATGGATGGATGAATGTATGAATGATTGGGTGGATGAATGGTTGGATGGATGGATGGATGGATGGATGGATGGATGGATGGATGGATGGATGGATGGTTCGATGGGTGGACAGATAGATGGATGGGTGGATAGTTGGGTGGATAGTTGATTGATTGATGGTTGGATGCATGGATGGATGGATAGAGTTATGGGGGTAGTTAAATTTTGGCTTTGGTTCACAGTCTCAAGTGACTGTTTTGATCGCTCGATGATTCATTGGAGGGATGGGTTAAAGAACCAGTACAGAGAAGAGTGCAGTGAAAGACAGAATAGTGAATAGGTCCGTGAATGGAGGGATGGATGATGGGTGGATGGATGGATGACTAGAAGAAAGGATTTATCAGTAGAAGGCTGAGTAGAGAGTAACGACGCTTGTTGAATGACTGGAGGGCTGGATGGCTGCGGAATGCATGGAGTGTTGAATGGATGAACGGATACAACACTGAATGCTTGCACTGATGCATGGTTGAGGGAATCTGAGAGTCTCAAAGGCAGGTTTCACTTTGCTGAATCAGTGATTGGTTGAACGTACAGAAGGCGGGTGGTGGAGTTTGTGCCTGATCATGTGGTGAGGGTTTGAAATGTCTCTAGAGCAGCACGGCTTCCTGTGAGAGGGTTGGGTAGGACGGATGAATGGATGTATTTGGATTTGTGAGTAGGAGAATGGAGAGATGGAGCCATGGAATCCGGAATGTCTGGAGTGCTGAGTCCCAGTATTAAGAGTTGCATGGATGAATGTGTGCATCAATGAATAACTGATCAGATGGTGGATGTTTGAGTTTGTCACAGATCCTGTATTGGGTGCTTGGTAGGATTTTACAGATGCACGGGTGGAAGGAAAGGTGGAAAAGAGGATGATGAATGAATGTATTGATGACTGAATGGGTGATGGGTGGGTGGGTGGATGGATGGATGGACGGACGGACGGACGGATGGATGGATGGATGGATGTAAAGATGAATGGATGGATGGATGCATGGATGGATGGATGGAAAGAAGGATGTAAAGATGAATGGATGGATGGATGGATGGATGGATGGATGGATGGATGGATGGATGGATGGATTTATGAGTAGAAAGATGAGTATACATAAACAATGTGTGTTGAATTCCTGGAGAGCTGGATGCTGATGGAAAGCATGGAGGGCTGAATGGATGAAAGAATACGGCAATGGATGGCTGCAGTTATGGATGGTTGATTGACCCTGAACGTCTTCAAGGCCAGGTCTGACTGTGCTGAATCAACAAATGAATGTACTAAAGGTGGATGATGGTGTTCTTCGTCATCATGTGTTGAGTGTTTGACAGGTCTTTAGAGCAGCATGGCTGCCTGTGGGATGGATGGATGGATGGACAGATGGATGGAGGAATGGATGGATGGATGGATGGATGGATGGATGGATGGATGGATGGATGGATGGATCGGGGGATAGATGGGCGAATGGATGGATGGCGGGAGGGAGGGAGGGAGGGATGGATGGATGAGTGCGTGGGTGGATGAATGGATGGATGCATATAATAATGGGTGAGGAAGTTTGACTGATCAGCCTGGAGAAGAGAAGGCGGCGTGGTGACCTCATAGCAGCTACCAGTATCTGAAGGGGTCCTATAGGGATGCTGTAGAGGGACTGTTCAGTAGAGACTGTAGTGATAGGACAAAGGGGTAACGGGTTAATACTGAAACAGGGGAAGTTTAGGTTGGGTATAAGGAGTAAGTCCTTTCCTGTGAGGGTGGTGAGGCACTGGAATGGGTTGCCCAGGGAGGTTGTGAATGCTCCATCCCTGGCAGTGTTCAAGGCCAGGTTGGACGAGGCCTTGGGTACCATGGTTTAGTGTGAGGTGGCCCAGCCCATGGCAGGGGGGTTGGAACTGGATGATCTTAAGGTCCTTTCCAACCCTAACGATTCTATGATTCTGTGATTCTAAGAATGCATGGATGGATGGATGGATGGAGGTATGAGTGGATAGGTTAAAGGATGGATGGATGGATGGATGGATGGATGGATGGATGGATGGATGGACGGATGGAAGGATGGATGGATGGATGAATGGATGGATGAAAGGATGAGCGGGTGGATGGAAGGATGGATGGAAGGATGGATGGATGGATGCATGGATGGATGGATGGATGGAAGTATTGAAGGATGGATGACTGGATGGACAGAGAGATGGATGGATGGATGGATGAATGGATGACTGGGTGGATGGATGGATGGATGGATGGATGGTTGGATGGATGAATGGAGAAATAGATTCACATACAGATGTTCATGGCCTTCACTTTGGTCTCTCCACGGCAGCCCCAGCTCCACAGGAGGAGGAATCCCAGCCAGTGCTGGGTGAGCTCAGGGTGTCCGAGGTCACCTCTGACTCGGTGCAGCTGGAGTGGAGCGTCCCCGAGGGCACCTTTGACTCCTTCACGCTGCAGTACCGCGATGCACAAGGCCAGCCCCAGGTGCTGCCCGTGGACGGGGGTTCCCGCACGCTGACGCTGCCGGGGCTGTCCCCGTCCCGCCGCTACAAGTTCAACCTGTACGGGCTGTGGGGTCGCACACGCCTGGGCCCCGTCTCCACCGACACTGTCACAGGTGAGGGGGCTCTGGCACCAGCCCCGCTGAACCGCCTCTTGTAGTGGACAGAAGCTTGGGCAGGGCCCGTGCTCGTGCCTTGGTCAGTGGAGGAAAGGGGGTGGGAGGGGATTTGGGATCAGTGGAAGAATGGGGGTGTGACAGGTTGGCAGGGTGGAGGGGTTGTTGAATGCATGGATGGGGGGATGGAGGGAGGGATGAATGGATGGATGGATTTCCAGATGAATGTTTACATTGATGGCTGGTAAATGGATGGATGGATTGAAGGATGGATGAATGGATGGATGAATGTGTGGATACATGAATGAGTGGGGTTATTGATGGATGGGTGGATTGATGGATGGATGGATGGATGGATGGATGGATGGATGGATGGATGGATGGATGCATGAATGGATGGATGTGTGGGTGGATGAAAGGATGGTAGGATGAATGGATGGATGGATTTACAGATGAATGGTTATATGGTTGGCTAATGAATGGATGGATAGATTGAAGGATAGATGAATGGGTGGATGAGTGGGTGGATGGAAGAATGGATGGATGGATGGATGGATGGATGGATGGATGGATGGATGGATGGGTGGATGGATGGGTGCATGGATGGGTGGATGGGAGGATGGGAGGATGGATGGGTGGAGGCATGAATGGATGGATGGATTTACAGATGAATAGTTATATGGATGGCTGATGAATGTATGGATGGATGGATTGAAGGGTGGAAGGATTGACTGACGAGTGGGTGGATGGATGGATGGATGGATGGATGGATGGATGGATGGATGGATGGATGAGTGGGTGGATGGATGGATGGATGGATGGATGGATGGATGGATGGATGAGTGGGTGGATGGGTGGATGGATGGAGGGATGGAGGGATGGACAGATGTAAGAAATAATTTCTGAGTAGAAGGATGAGTATACATAAACAATGTGTGTTGAATTCCTGGAGAGCTGGATGCTGATGGAAAGCATGGAGGGCTGAATGGATGAAAGGATACAGCAATGGATGGTTGGAGTTATGGATGGTTGATCGACCCTGAACATCTTCAAGGCCAGGTGTGTCAGTGCTGAATCAGCAAATGAATGCACTAAAGGTGGATGATGGGGTTGTTTGTCATCATGGGTCGAGTGTTCGAGAGGTCTTTAGAGCAGCATGGCTGCCTGTGGGATGGATGGATGGATGGATGGATGGATGGATGGATGGATGGATGGATAAATTTGGAAATATGAGTTGGTTAGGGTGGTGAGGCACTGGAATGGGTTGCCCAGGGAGGTTATGAATGCTCCATCCCTGGCGGTGTTCAAGACAAGTTTGGACGAGGCCTTGGGTGGTATGATTTACCGTGATTTACCAATGGCAGGGGCGTTGGAACTAGATGATCTCAAGGTCCTTTCCAACCCTAATTATGCTATGATTCTATGATTCTATGAATACGGAATGCCTGGAGAGCATTAACTCAATGAGGAGCACTGAGGTTGCATTCATGAAAAGATCCACAAATAGATGAGAGGTCAGACGATAGATGATTGAGTGATCCTGTACTGGGCTCTTGATAGGATTCTATAGATGCAGGGATGGATTGAAAGATGGAAAGGACGATGAATGATGTATGGATGAGGCATGCATGTGTGGATGGATGGATGGATGGATGGATGGATGGATGGATGGATGGATGGATGGATGGTTGATGGGTGAGTGGATCCTTGATAGACGGATTGGTGGACGGATGTATGAATGGGTGGATGGATTGTTCGATGGATAGAAGAAAGCATTTATTAGTAGAAGGATGAGTAGAGAGTAACGACGCTTGTTGAATGAGTGGAGGGCTGGATGGCAGCAGAACACATGGAGTGTTGAATGGATGAAGGGATACAACACTGACTGCTTGCACTGATGCATGGTTGAGAGAATCTGAGAGTCTCAAAGGCAGGTTTCACTTTGCTGTATCAGTGATTGGTTGAACGTACAGAAGGCGGGTGGTGGAGTTTGTGCCTGATCATGTGGTGAGGGTTTGAAATGTCTCTAGAGCAGCACGGCTTCCTGTGAGAGGGTTGGATAGGACGGATGAATGGATGTAATTTGGATTTGTGAGTAGGAGAATGGAGAGATGGAGCCATGGAATCCAGAATGTCTGGAGTGCTGAGTCCCAGTATTAAGAGTTGCATGGATGAATGTGTGCATCAATGAATAACTGATCGGATGGTGGATGTTTGAGTTTGTCACAGATCCTGTATTGGGTGCTTGATGGGACTTCAGAGACACATGGGTGGAAGGAAAGGTGGAAAGGAGGATGATGGATGGAGGTATTCACGAATGAATGTGTGATGGGTGGATGGATGGATGGATGGATGGATGGATGGACGGATGGATGGACGGATGGAAGGATGATGGATGGGTGAAGGGACTGACAGAGGGATGGATGTTGTGTGGATGGATGGATGGATGGAAGGATGGATGGATGGATGGATGGATGGACGGATGGATGGACGGATGGACGGATGGATGGACGGATGGAAGGATGATGGATGGGTGAAGGGACTGACAGAGGGATGGATGTTGGGTGGATGGATGGATGGATGGATGGATGATGAGACAAAGAGACAGGGGGATGGGTGGCTAGCTTGCTGAATGAATGGATCGAAAGATGAACGGAATGACGGATGGAGAGATGGATGGATGGATGGATGCATGGATGGATGGTTGAATAAATAGGCAGGGGGATGGATGGATGGATGGATGGATGGATGGATGGATGGATGGATGATGTGTGGAGGGATGTATGGATGGATGCAAGAATGGCTGGATGCGTGGGTGGATGGATGGATGGATGGATGGATGGATGAGTGGGTGGATGGATGGATGGATGGGTGCTGGGATGAATGGATGGATGGATTTACGGATTAATGGTTCAATGGATGCCTGATGAATGGGTGGATGGATGGATGGATGGATGGATGGATGGATGGATGGATGGATGGATGGATGGGTGAATGGATGGATGGATGGATGGATGCATGGATGGATGGATGGATGGATGAATGGATGAATGGATGCATGGACGGATGTACGAAACGATTTATGAGTAGAAGGATGAGTATACAAAAACAATGTGTGTTGAATTCCTGGAGAGCTGGGTGCTTATGGAAAGCATAGAGGGCTGAATGGATGAAAGGATACAGCAATGGATGGTTGGAGTTACAGATCGACCCTGAAAGTCTTCAAGGCCAGGTCTGATGGTGCTGAATCAGCAAAGGAATGTGCTAGAGGTGGATGATGGGGTTGTTTGTCATCATTGGTTGAGTGTTTGGCAGGTCTTTAGAGCAGCATGGCTGCCGGTGGGACGGATGGACGCGTGGATGGATGGAGGAGTGGGTGGATGGAAGCATGCATGGGTGCGTCGATGGATGGAGGGAGGGAGGCATGGATGAATGGATGAGTGGGTGGATGGATGGGTGCATGGAAGATGATTGGATAGGTGGAAGGAGGGAGGGAGGGAGGGAGGGAGGGAGGGAGGGATGCATGCGTGGGTGGATGGATGGGTGCATGGAAGGATGCATGGAAGGACGGATGGATGGATGGATGAGTGGATAGGTGGAAGGATGGATGGATGGATGGATGAATGGATGGATGCATGGAAGGATGCATGGAAGGACGGATGGATGGATGGATGAGTGGATAGGTGGAAGGATGGATGGATGGATGGATGGATGGATGGATGGATGGATGGATGGATGGTTAAAATTGGAATTATTAGTAGATGAATGGGTGGAATGATCCATGGAATATGGAATGCCTGAAGAGCTTTACCTCAGTGAGGAGCATTGAGGGTTGCATTGATGAATAGATCCATCAGTAGATGAGTGGTCAGACAATAGATGATTGAGTACGTCAGTGATCCTGTACTGGGCTCTTGATAGGACTCTATCGATGCAGGGATGGAATGAAAGATGGAAAAGACGGGGAATGATGTATGGATGAGGCATGCATGTGTGGATGGATGGATGAATGGATGAACAGATGGATGGATGGATGATGGATGGATGGATGGATGGATGGATGGATGGATGGATGGATGGATGGAAGAAAGCATTTATTAGTAGAAGGATGAGTAGAGAGTAACGACGCTTGTTGAATGACTGGAGGGCTGGATGGCTGCGGAATGCATGGAGTGTTGAATGGATGAACGGATACAACACCGAATGCTTGCATTGATGCATGGTTGAGGGAATCTGAGAGTCTCAAAGGCAGGTTTCACTTTGCTGAATCAGTGATTGGTTGAACGTACAGAAGGCGGGTGGTGGAGTTTGTGCCTGATCATGTGGTGAGGGTTTGAAATGTCTCTAGAGCAGCACGGCTTCCTGTGAGAGGGTTGGATAGGACGGATGAATGGATGTATTTGGATTTGTGAGTAGAAGAATGGAGAGATGGAGCCATGGAATCCAGAACGTCTGGAGTGCTGAGTCCCAGTATTAAGAGTTGCATGGATGAATGTGTGCATCAATGAATAACTGATCAGATGGTGGATGTCTGAGTTTGTCACAGATCCTGTATTGGGTGCTTGGTAGGATTTTACAGATGCACGGGTGGAAGGAAAGGTGGAAAAGAGGATGATGAATGAATGTATTGATGACTGAATGGGTGATGGGTGGGTGGGTGGGTGGGTGGATGGATGGATTGATGGATGGATGGATGGATGGATGGATGGATGGATGGATGGACGGATGGATGGATGGAAGGATGATGGATGGGTGAAGGGACTGACAGAGGGATGGATGTTGGGTGGGTGGATGGATGGATGGATGGATGGATGGATGGATGAAGAGACAAAGAGACAGGGGGATGGGTGGCTAGCTTGCTGAATAAATGGATCGAAAGATGAACGGAATGACGGATGGAGAGATGAATGGATGGATGCATGGATGGATGGTTGAATGAATAGACAGGGGGATGGATGGATGGATGGATGGATGGATGGATGGATGGATGGATGGATGATGTGTGGAGGGATGTATGGATGGATGCAAGAATGGCTGGATGCGTGGGTGGATGGATGAGTGGGTGGATGGATGGATGGATGGATGGATGGATGAGTGTGTGGATGGGAGGATGGATGGGTGCTGGGATGAATGGATGGATGGATTTACAGATTAATGGTTCAATGGATGCCTGATGAATGGGTGGATGGATGGATGGATGGATGGATGGATGGATGGATGGATGGATGGGTGAATGGATGGATGGATGGATGGATGCATGGATGGATGGATGGATGGATGAATGGATGAATGGATGCATGGACGGATGTACGAAACGATTTATGAGTAGAAGGATGAGTATACATAAACAATATATGTTGAATTCCTGGAGAGCTGGATGCTGAAGGAAAGCATGGAGGGCTGAATGGATGAAAGAATACAGCAATGGATGGTTGGAGTTATCGATGGTTGATGGACCCTGAACGTCTTCAAGGGCAGCGGTGACAATGCTGAATCAGCAAATGAATGTACTGAAGGTGGATGATGGGGTTGTTCATCATCATGTGTTGAGTGTTTGACAGGTCTTTAGAGCAGCATGGCTGCCTGCGGGATGGATGGATGGATGGATGGATGGATGGATGGATGGATGGATGGATGAATTTGGAAATAGGAGTACGTTAGGGTGGTGATGCACTGGAATAGGTTGCTCAGGGAGTTGTGAATGCTCCATCCCTGGTGGAGTTCCAGACAAGGTTGGACGAGGCCTTGGGTGGCCTCCTTTCCAACCCTAACTATGCTATGATTCTATGATTCTAAAAATATGGAATGCCTGGAGAGCGTTACCTCAATGAGGAGCATTGAGGTTGCATTGAGGAATGGATCCATGAATAGATGAGTGGTCAGTCAGGAGATGATTGAGTACGTTGGTGATCCTGTAGTGGTCTCTTGATAGGATTCTATAGATGAAGGGATGGAATGAATGATGGAAAGGACGATGAATGATGTATGGATGAGACATGCATGTGTGGATGGATGGATGGATGGATGGAGGAATGAATAGACGGGGGATGGATGGATGGGTGGATGGGGGATGGATGGATGGATGGATGGATGGATGGATGGATGGATGGATGGATGGTTGGATGGATGGATGGATGGTTGGATGGATGAATATAAAGGGGGATGCACGCATGGATGGATGGATGGATGCATGCATGCATGTTGGGGTCGACAGATGGATGGATGGATACAAGAATGGATGGATGAGTGGGTGGATGAAAGAATGGAAGAATGGATGGATGCATGGATGTTTGGGGGGATGGATGGATGGATGGATGGATGGATGGATGGATGGATGGATGGACGGATTCACAGATGAGTGGTTACATGGATGGCTGGTGAACGAATGGATGGATGGAAGGATGGTTGGATGGATGGATGAGTGGGTGGATGGATGCATCGATGGATGGATCGATGGATGGATTGATAGATGAATGGATGAATGCGTGGGTGGATGGCAGGATGGATGGATAGAGGGATGAATTGTTGGATGGAAGACTGGGTGTATGGATGGATGAATGGATGGATGCATGAATGATTTGGTGGAAGCATGAATGAATGCCTGGAATGATGGATGGATGGATGGATAGATGGATGGATGGATGGATGGATGGATGGATGGAGGCATGGATGGAGGCATGGATGGATGGATGTGTGCATGGATGGATGGATGGTTGAGTGGGTGGATGGAAGGATGGATGGATGGATGGATGGATGGATGGATGGATGGATGGATGGATGGATGGATGCATGGAGGCATGGATGGATGGTTGTGAGCATGGATGGATGGATGGTTGAGTGGGTGGATGGAAGGACGGGTGGATGGATGGATGGATGGATGGATGGATGGATGGATGGATGGATGGATGAATTGATGGATGGATGGTTGAGTGGGTGGATGGGTGTATGGAGAGATGAGTGGTTGGATGGAAGGATGGATGGATGTGTGGATGCATGGATGGATGTAAGAACCAATTTATGAGATGAAGGATGAGTATACATAAAGAATGTGTGTTGAATTCCTGGAGAGCTGGATGCTGATGGAAAGCATGGAGGGCTGAATGGATGAAAGGATACAGCAATGGATGGTTGGAGTTATGGATGGTTGATGGACCCTGAAAGTCTTCAAGGCCAGGTCTGACTGTGCTGAATCGACAAATGAATGTGCTAAAGGTGGATGATGGTGTTCTTCGTCATCATGTGTTGAGTGTTTGAGAGGTCTTTAGAGCAGCATGGCTGCCTGTGGGATGGATGGATGGATGGATGGATGGACGGATGGATGGATACATTTGGAAATATGAAAGGATGGATGGATAGAATGTGAATCATTGAGGGTTGCATTGATGAATAGATCCATCAATAGATGAGTGGTCAGACAGTAGATGATTGAGCATGTCGATGATCCTGTACTGGGCCCTTTATAGGACTCTATAGATGCAGGGTTGGATTGATAGATGGATGGATGGATGTGTGGATGGATGGATGGATGCATGGATGGATGGATGGATGGATGGATGGATGGATGGATGTGTGGATGGATGGATGGATGCATGGATGCATGGATGGAAGTAAGAAACGATTTATGAGTAGAAGGATGAGTATACATAAACAATATATGTTGAATTCCTGGAGAGCTGGATGCTGAAGGAAAGCATCTAGCGCTGAATGGTTGAAAGAATACAGCAATGGATGGCTGGAGTTATGGATGGTTGATGGACCCTGAAAGTCTTCAAGGGCAGCGGTGACAATGATGAATCAGTAAATGAATGTACTGAAGGTGGATGATGGGGTTGTTTGTCATCATGGGTTGAGTGTTTGACAGGTCTTTAGAGCAGCATGGCTGCCTGTGGGATGCATGGATGGATGGATGGATGGATGGATGGATTCATGCATGGATGGATGCATGGATGCATGGATGCATGGATGAACTTGGAAATAGGAGTACATTAGGGTGGTGATGCACTGGAATAGGTTGCTCAGGGAGTTGTGAATGCTCCATCCGTGGTGGAGTTCCAGACAAGGTTGGACGAGGCCTCGGGTGGCCTCCTTTCCAACCCTAACTATGCTATGATTCTATGATTCTAAAAATATGGAATGCCTGGAGAGCGTTCCCTCAATGTGGAGCATTGAGGTTGCATTGATGAATAGATCCATGAAGAGATGAGTGGTCAGTCAGGAGATGATTGAGTACGTTGGTGATCCTGTTGTGGTCTCTTGATAGGATTCTATAGATGCAGGGATGGAATGAATGATGGAAAGGACGATGAATGATGTATGGATGAGACATGCATGTGTGGATGGATGGATGGATGGATGGATGGATGGATGGATGGATGGATGGACGGATGGATGAATGGAGGAATGAATAGATGGGGGATGGATGGATGGATGGATGGATGGATGGATGGATGGATGGATGAATAGAAAGGGGGATGCACGCATGGATGGATGGATGGATGCATGCATGCATGTTGGGGTCGACAGATGGATGGATGGATACAAGAATGGATGGATGAGTGGGAGGATGAAAGAATGGAAGAATGGATGGATGCATGGATGTTTGGGGGGATGGATGGATGGATGGATGGATGGATGGACGGATTTACAGATGAGTGGTTACATGGATGGCTGGTGAACGAATGGATGGATTGAAGGATGATTGGATGGATGGATGAGTGGGTGGATGGATGCATAGATGCATCGATGGATGGATTGATAGATGAATGGATGAATGCATGGGTGGATGGCAGGATGGATGGATAGAGGGATGAATGGATGGATGGAAGAGTGGGTGTATGGATGCATGAATGGATGTGTGCATAAATAACTTGGTGGAAGCATGAATGAATCCCTGGAATGATGGATGGATGGATGGATGGATGGATGGATGGATGGATGGATGGATGGAAGGATGGATGGATGGATGGATGAATGGATGGAGGCATGGATGGATAGATGGGTGGATGGACGGATGGATGGTTGAGTGGGTGGATGAAAGGATGGATGGATGGATGGATGGATGGATGGATGGATGGATGGATGGATGGATGTAAGAAATTATTTATGAGATGAAGGATGAGTATATATAAACAATGTGTGTTGAATTCCTGGAGAGCTGGATGCTGATGGAAAGCATGAAGGGCTGAATGGATGAAAGAATACAGCAATGGATGGTTGGAGTTATGGATGGTTGATGGACCCTGAAAGTCTTCAATGCTAGGTGTGACTGTGCTGAATCAGCAAATGAATGTACTAAAGTTGTATGATGGGGTTGTTCATCATCATGTGTAGAGTGTTTGAGAGGTCTTTAGAGCTGCATGGCTGCCTGTGGGATGGATGGATGGATGGATGGATGGATGGATGGATGGATGGATGGATAAATTTGTAAATATGAGTAGATGGTTGGATAGAATGATCCTTGGAATATGGAATGCCTGGAGAGCTTTGCCTCAGTGAGAAGCATTGCGGGTTGCATTGATGAATAGATCCATCAATAGATGAGTGGCCAGACAATAGATGATTGAGTACATCAGTGATCCTTTACTGGGCTCTTGATAGGACTCTATAGATGCAGGGGTGGAATGAATGATGGAAGGAAAGATGCATGATGTATGGATGAGGCATGCATGTGTGGATGGATGGATGAATGGATGAACAGATGGATGGATGGATGGATGAATGGATGAACAGATGGATGGATTGTTGACTGGAGAGATAGATTCACATACAGATGCTCATGGCCTTCACTGTGGCCTCTCCACTGCAGCTCCAGCTCCACAGGAGGAGGAATCCCAGCCAGTGCTGGGTGAGCTCAGGGTGTCCGAGGTCACCTCTGACTCGGTGCAGCTGGAGTGGAGCGTCCCCGAGGGCACCTTTGACTCCTTCACGCTGCAGTACCGCGATGCACAAGGCCAGCCCCAGGTGCTGCCCGTGGACGGGGGTTCCCGCACGCTGACGCTGCCGGGGCTGTCCCCGTCCCGCCGCTACAAGTTCAACCTGTACGGGCTGTGGGGTCGCACACGCCTGGGCCCCGTCTCCACCGACACTGTCACAGGTGAGGGGGCTCTGGCACCAGCCCCGCTGAACCGCCTCTTGTAGTGGACAGAAGCTTGGGCAGGGCCCGTGCTCGTGCCTTGGTCAGTGGAGGTGGGTTGGGATTTGAGGTCAGTGGAAGGATAGGGGAGTGACAGGTTGGAAGGGTGGAGGGGTAGCTGAATGCATGGATGGGTGGTTGGGTGGATGGATGGATGGATTTCCAGATGAATGGTTACATGGATGGGTGATGAATGGATGGATGGATTGAAGGATGGATGCATGGATGGATGAGTGGGTGGATGGATGGATGGATGGATGGATGGATGGATGGATGGATGGGTGGATGGATGGAGGCATGGATGGATGGATGTGTGCATGGATGGATGAATGAGAGGGTGGATGAAGGGATGGAAGGATAGATGGATGGATGGATTCACAAATGGATGAATGAGTTGCTGGATGAAAGGATGGAAGGATGCAAGGATGGATGAATGGATGAATGATAGGGTGGGAGAATGGATGGATGGATGGATGGATGGATGGATGGATGGATGGATGGATGGATGGATGGAGGCATGGATGGAGGCATGGATGGAAGGATGAATGGATGAGTGGCTGGAAGGTTGAGTGGGTGGATGGGTGTATGGATAGATGAGTGGTTGGATGGATAGATGGATGGATGGATGGATGGATGGATGGGTGGATGGATGGATGGATGGATGGATGGATGGATGGATGGATGGAAGAAACGATTTATGAGTAGAAGGATGAGTATACATAAACAATATATGTTGAATTCCTGGAGAGCTGGATGCTGAAGGAAAGCATGGAGGGCTGAGTGGATGAAAGAATACACCAATGAATGGCTGGAGTTATGGATGGTTGATCGACCCTGAAAGTCTTCAAGGGCAGCGGTGACAATGCTGAATCAGCAAATGAATGTACTGAAGGTGGATGATGGGGTTGTTTGTCATCATGTGTTGAGTGTTTGACAGGTATTTAGAGCAGCATGGCTGCCTATGGGATGGATGGATGGATGGATGGATGGATGGATGGATGGATGGATGGATGGATTCATGGATGGATAAGTTTCGAAATATGAGTTGGTTAAGGTGGTGAGGCACTGGAATGGGTTGCCCAGGGAGGTTGTGAATGCTCCATCCCTGGCGGTGTTCAAGACAAGTTTGAACGAGGCCTTGGGTGGTATGATTTACCGTGAGGTGTACCTGCCAATGGCAGGGGAGTTGGAACTAGATGATCTTAAGGTCCTTTCCAACCCTAATTATGCTATGATTCTGTGATTCTATGAATATGGAATGCCTGGAGAGCTTTACCTCAATGAGGAGCATTGAGGTTGCATTGATGAATAGATCCATCAATAGATGAGTGGCCAGACAATAGAAGATTGAGTACATCGGTGATCCTGTACTGGGCTCTTGATAGGACTCTATAGATGCAGGGATGGATTGAATGATGGAAAGGACGATGAATGATGTATGGATGAGGCATGCATGCGTGGATGGATGGATGGATGGATGGATGGATGGATGGATGG